ATGGCAAACAGCAACGATGGTTTTCTTTGGACGCTACCCTGGTCTAAGAGCTTTCAGAGGTCTGGCCCTAGGAACATCTCGGAATTTGATTTCATGAAAGGAGTAAAAAAACACCTCCCCTCACATCTCTGAGAAGAGAGAAAACCAGATGGCAGTTCTGATGGCCCCGCTTCAACTCAGTGCCTAGAACATGCCAGCGCCGGTGTTGGGTCTCAGGGAGCCAGCATGGCCAACTAGCTGCTGCAAAGGTCATGGCTGCTCCTTTTGTGGGTGAATGAAGGGATCGAGGGTGAGCTTGTTCTTCTGTGTATTTTTAAAAAACATTTTAAAAAATTAATTTCAGAAAGAGAAAGGGAGAGAAAGAGAGAGATAGAAACATAAAAGATGAGAGAGAATCGTTGATCAGCGGCCTCCTGTACACCCACCATTAAGGATTGAGACCACAATCCAGACATGTGCCCTGACCAGGAATTGAACCCTGACCTCCTGATTTATAGGTCAACACTCAACCACTGACCACATTGGCTGGGCTGTTCTTGTTCTTTTTTTTTTTTTTTTTTTTTTTTTTTTAATACCTACAGGACTTAAAACTCCTTCAACCTGCAGAGTCCTCTAGGAACTGTGTTCATGTTGGATTTTTTTTTTGGCACACTTCCTATTTTATATGAGCTCTGGTTGTTTGTGAGGCCTGCATCTCCTTCCTTTACATCTCTCTCTTACCCTATGTGCCTTAGAAAGTCATCTGGAGCCTGGCAGGTGTGACTGAACATTGCCCTAAGAACTAGGAGGCCACTGATTCCGGGTTAGGGTACATGCCTGATCCCCAGTTGGAGCCATGCAGGAGGCAGCCAATCAATGATTTTCTCTCATCATTGATGTTTTTATCTCTCTTTCCCTTTTTCTTCCTTTCTGGAAAAAAAAAATACACACATATATATATACTGAGTGGCCAGATTATTATGAACTCTAAACGCATAATAATCTGGCCACTCAGTATATATCCTATATAATAAAAGGCTAATATGCAAATTGTCCCCAACACTAGGAGTTTGACTAGCAGGCAGGCCATGTCCCTTCCCCAACCCCCCATGTCCCCTCTCCCTGACCAGACTGGCTGGACCCCGAATTCATGCACTAGGACTCTAATATATAACTGAGTGGCCAGATTATTATGCAAAGATCATAATAATCTGGCCACTCAGTGTATATAAATGAAATCTAATGCACAATTTGACATTCTATATTTTCTATTTTGAAAATTGTAATTAGGTAATACAAAATAAAGTAAATATACAATTGTAAAAGAAAGCACTTTATTGTTTTAATGGTACAAAAGCAAGAAAGACAACATAAAGTTATCCAGATTTAAAATAGTTGTTTGTGTTGTGAGTAAATGTCATTTAAAAACATGTTTCAATAGAAAAATAGTTTGTAAGTCAGTTTGTAGAAGATTTTAAAAATCAATGATTAATAAAAAATACAGAACATTTCATGAATTTTGTGTCATTGTTGTGCAGGGGTCATGATAATTTTTAAAGCATTTTAAATATCCTCATCTGAGGATATGTTTATTGATTTTCAGGGAGAGGGAAAGGAGAGAGAGAGAGAAGAAACATCAATTGGTTGCCTCCCATGTGTGCTCCTATTGGGGATTGAACCCAAAACTTAGGTATGTACTCTGATTGGGAATTGAACCCACAAACTTTTGGTGTATGGGACAACACTCCAACCAACTGAGCCACCTGGGCAGGCAAGTCCATGATAATCTTCTCTATATTGTTCTAATTGTAGCATAAATGCTGGTGATGTAAGCATGACAATTTCATTTTCTGATGTCTCATTTTATTCAGATCCCCTACATTTTTTATGTCAACAAGAAAGTATTAAATATATTTATTAAAAAATTTATCAGATATTCAGCACTTAGACACTGGACATGTATTACATCATTCAATCCTGGAAAGAGTCACATGAAATAGGTTCTATGATTTATTGCCATTTTTCTTTTTCTCTTTTCTTTTTTTCTTTAAATTCTTGATTGTTTAAAATATTACATATGTCTCCTTTTTCCTCTATTGACCTCTCCCTGGCCACCCCCAAACCTCCAACACATGCCCTCACCCACCTAGTGTCTGTGCCCGTTGGTTATGCTTATATGCATGCATATAAGTCCTTTGGTTGATCTCTTATCTCCCTTCCCCTTACCCCCCTCCTTCCCTCTGAATTTTGATGGTCTGTTCAATGCTTCTTTGTCTCTGGATCTATTTCTGTTCATCAGTTTATGCTGTTCATTATATTCCACAAATGAGTGAGATCATGTGATATTTATCTTCTCTAACTGGCTTATTTCACTTAGCTTTAATGCTCTCCAGGTCCAACCATGCTGTTGGAAATGGTAAGAGAGTTCTTTCTTTTCTATAGTGGCACAGTATTCCACTGTGTAGATGTACCACAGATTTCTAATCCACTCATCTGCTGACGGGCACTTGGGCTGTTTCCAAATCTCAGCTATTATAGATTATGCTGCTATGAACTCAGGGGTGCATCTGTCCTTTTATTGCCATTTTTCAAATGAAGAAACATTCAAGTTGCTAAGTAAACTTGTCCAAGATCACTCAGTTGGCAATTGGAAGACTCAGGACACTTGTAGCACTACCTTGCAAAATGAATGTAAAATTTAACATTCCCCCAAAATGGTTCAAATTCCCTGTCTCCTTTTGAGAGGTGCACACTAAGCCCCTCACAGAGTGACTGGGTGATGACCTATGAACCAGGAGGTCACGGTTTGATTCCTGGTCAGAGCACATGCCTGACCTGTGAACCAGGAGGCCGCCGATCAATGATTCTCTCTCATCATTGATGTTTCTATCTCTCTCCTCCCTTCCTCTCTGAAGTTAAAAAACATATATATATATATATATATATATATATATATATATATATATATATATATATTTAAAAAGCAAGACCTATCCTACTTATAAAAATCCTGCTTCCAAGTCATTATTTTCTCAATTCAATCATTATAAAATGTAACAAATGATTAAGTACTGGATTAAAATTTCTCAAAATAAAGACAGCTCTGGCCTGCCATTTTCAAGTGTGCTGGATAGGGACAAGTCATGCTGGTCTCTGCCTCTGGGCCTTAACACAATACATGATTGTACAGGCTTAGGGTGTATATTTTTGCTTTAATATGTGATATAAATGTATTCCCCCTCTCCTATTAAATCATTAGCCTTGTTCAGGGCAGGCTAGATTTTATGCTTCCTTTATCAAGGCTGCACATATTAAAATACACTGTTGCCTTCCACTATGAATTGCTGCGATTTTGATATCTCAAAGAGGCGGGTGGGAGTTCTGACTGATACTTCAACCTCATGCTTCTTGCATCAGAATACAATGCTTGCATTTTCATGTTTTCAGGGCACATCCCAGGCAAGATATTAACTTTTGAATCAATAAGAAAGAAACTTTTCAAACTGGAATTTTAGAAAAGAGGACAACTTTTCAAACTGCAAGGTGCTGTACAAAGCAACCTATAGAAGTTGACTCCACTATCAGCTGGGTAGAATGAATGAAGGGGTTAAAATGGCCAAGTCTTACAAACATACCGAATTCAGCCCTGTTCTGTTTATTTGTAACTCCAATAGTGTAATGAGTTGGATTCTGAAAGTTTTGGAACTTAAAAAAAAAAAAAAGTTTCGGTTTTTATTCATTGCCTTGAGAGGAGCCCTGAGAAAGGAAGGGAGAGGGCACAGCTTTGAAGAACTGGCAATTCGGCCTCTCCTCTCCCCCCCTCCCCCCTCCCCCCACTATCTTAGCTATTTGACCTGATTCAACAACTTTGGGATGGCAGCCAGATTTCTGTATGCTGACGAGGCCTCTAATTCAGGATTCAGTGCGATTTCACCCACCTCGGGAGCTTCCCGACTGCTCCCGGGGCGGTAGACTGGCTTCACAGACATCTCCCCAATTTTGCCAGAGGTTCTCCAGGGAGGAGTCCACACAGGCTGGGCACCTCCAGTCCCATCAGAGTATTCATTAGCAAACCCTTTCCACCTCCTATCTAACAGTCACGCCAGAATCGCGTGTGCCACTCTGCAGAAAAGGGTTATGCCCCCACCCCCCCCAGGCTAGGTAGTAAAATACGTTTCCCAAAGCTTCCTTAAACCTTCCCTACATCTAAGCCAGGTCTGAGAGCCGGGTCCCCCCATTCTCCCCAGGCGCCCGGAGCCTGGTCCCCGCAGAAGTCCCCGGTGTGTGTGCAGGACAGGAGAGGTGGCCGCGGAGGGGGAGCCGCGCGGGGTGACCACCGCTCCTTACATAACCGAAGCCCGGCTGCCAGAGGGAGCGGCCTGACATTGAGACTTTCCAGGAGGGAGGGGGGGGAGTTGCTGTCCTGGAATCGCCAGGAACAGCCGCGGCAGTTCCAAGAAACCGAGAGAGAAAGAGAGAGAGAGGAGGAAGGTGACTGAGATAAAGAAAGCACTTCGGGAATGAGCCTGTGAAGAAGCCGCGGGACCCAGAGCAAACGGCAAACAGCTGGGCACGTGTACTAATGTGTCAGATGCAAAGGCAACCTTCCAACGTTTGCACGGGGAGCAAGGGATTTGCCCTCTTTGGGGGATTAAACACGTCATAGAAAAAAGCCAAAAACCTAATGAATGGGGAGTTCCGGTGGTTTGTTGAAAAAAATACATACACCTTTCTGTCCGGATGCGCGAACTCCGTGCGGATGCCTAGAAAGTAGAAACTCAGACCGAACTGGAATACTCTCTCCCCGTGCGTCTCCGCGTTTCCTCAACCCGAAAGAGCAGCTCGCGCGCGCGCGCGGTTACTGCCCCTTTAAGACCCGCTCGCTCTCGGGCTCTACAAAAGGGAGTGACCTCTGGGCTTTGACAGCTCCCCTAATAACTACCACCGCGCAGGCCCCGCCCCCCTGGCGGCCGGCGGCGCCCATTGGCCGGCGGGCCGGTATCCCGCGCTCCCATTGGCTCCCCGCTTCCCCTGAGCGAACCTTTAGAACTCTGAGACAGACAATATTCTGTTACATTGTAGCAAAATGGCGACTGTCATTCACAACCCCCTGAAAGCGTAAGTAAGACTAAAAAAATGTACATATTCCTCGTGGTTTCGATATGAAAAAAAAGGCGCCTTCCTGCGTGCGGAGCGCCGCCGAGGCACCGCGCTCGCGGGCGCCTGCCGCCGCGGCGGGTCTTCCCTCTTTTTTTTCAGCTCTTTTACTTCTTCATCTTTTTATTTATTTTTTTTAATTTTCCCCCCCAACAAGCAGAAACGTCAGGAGATGCAATTAACAAGAAGAAAATTGTTACATGTGTGTTCTGCTTAATTGGCGGAGGGATAGAGAGAGAGAGAGAGAGAGAGAGAGAGAGGAGGGAGAGCGGCGGGGAGCCCGGCGCTCGAGCGCTCTGCAGCCAGGGGGTCGCGGGCGGCTCGGGGACAACACGGTCCCCCGAGTGCCCGGCCTCGCGGGGCGGCGAGCGCGGCGCGGGGGGCGGCCTCGCGGGAGGGGGCGCGGGGCAGGGGCCGCCCGGCTGCACTTGGCGGAGCTCAGGCACCTCCGGAGCCCGGGTCCCCCCGCCCGGCGGGCGACTCCGTCCGCCCGGGCGAGCGGAGCGGACCGCGGCTGCTCGGAGTTTGCAGGGAGCAGCTCCCCGCCTTCCGATCGCTGGGCGGAGAGTTTGTGTAAACCGCCCGGAGTTGCGAGGACCGCAGGGGGGGCGGCGGGTCCCGGGAGCCCCGGGGCCCAGGTGGTTTGCTCGGAGCTTTACTGCCGGGGCAGCCCCGGGAGCGTGACGGCGGCGCTCCGGGCGGCCGCCGGTGTCTCTCTGTGTGTCTGGGTGTGTGTGTTTGTGGGTGAACGGGCTGTAGTCAGTGAACGACTCGGGTTAACTTGGGGCGGATTTGGAAGCCGGAGGAGCTGCCGGTCTCAAGAACGGTGTTCTCGCCGCCTCCTCCCGCTCCTCCGGGTGGAAAGCCGAGGCGGGCGGGGAGGCGGCGTTTGCTCGCGGCCGGAGAGAGGGGCAGGTGCCTGTGCCGCCGGCAGACTTGGAGCGGACGCCCGGATCCGGGACGGAGGGGGCGGGCTGCACGAGGGCACGCGGGGGCCAGTCCCCGCGCCCGGCAGCCAGTTCCTGCCTTCCTTCCTCCGCCTTTTCATCCTGGCTTCCTTCCTTCCTTCCTTCCTCCCTCCCTTCCTTCCAGGCTGTGGAGCTGCTAAGCCGCCAAGTCCGCTCGCTCGCGATCGCGGGGCCGGAGGTGGCTGCGGAGAACGAGCGCTGCCCGGAAAGGGGCGCTCCTGGCGGGGACGTGGGCAGCGGGGCGCTCCCTCCGGGTCACCGCGCGCCGTGGGCGGGGGTCCGCGCGGGGGGACCGGCTCTGCCCAGCTGTCCTGGGAGCGGCGGTCGAGGGGAGGGGGAGTGCGGGTGTGCGTGGGGGAGTTTCGTGCCGAATCCCCGGGGGTGCGTGGCGGATACCCCCTCCTCCCCAGGTTCTTTCAGCCCCGCGCAGCGGCGTCCGCACCCCTAAGCTCCTCCTGGAGTGACATCCAGGTTCGCACCGGGGGTGAGTGGTGGCGGGGTGTCCCTATGGGGTGGCGGCGGCAGTGGGATTCCTATGGCGAAGGATCGCTCGGGGAGAAGGAAACGCGCTGGTACCAGCTTGTCTCCCATCTGTAACGGGGAAAAGGGGTAAGGATGCCCCAGGTCTGGGAGTTTTAAATGCAAACATACACACGCATGTGAAGGCTGCTTGTTAAGAGGTCTTTTGAACCCGAGGCTGATCGGAGGACAGTGGCTCCCGGCATCCGTTCTGGCTGGGAAGCGCCGGTAGCACTGCGCTTGAACGCCACAGCTCGCGCCCAAGAAAGAAAATGTTTTGTGGCAGAACCAATGGGCGTAACTTCGCCGCCACATCCTCCCCCCCTCCCTCCCTCCCCCATCCCCACCCCCGCGGCTCTCGCTGGCCACACCGCTGATGCTCTGAGTTTCTGCCGAGCCTATGGGCTGATGTGCAGCGTGCCAGTCTCTAGCCGAAATCCCATAACCAAGTGGATGCCACCCAGTACATTCAAGTTTTGAGAGAAATCTCGCATGTGCACCGGGTTTGTTGCCTTTTGGGAAGGCGGTGCCCGGGGAAAGCGGGCGGGCGCGGAGTCTCACCGCTCCAGGGTTCCGCTGCTCGCTCCAGGGTTTTTTCTTTTCTTTTCCTTACCTTTTGGACCGTAGAAGGGGTACGTGTTCGGGGGACGGTGTGTATGGAGGGTTACAAATGGCGGGGGGCGGGAGGGGGAAAGGAGGGGGCGGAAAGTGGAATTAGTTATGAATTTTTATACTCGAACTTTATCATTAGAAGCAGTTGCAATGCGATGTATTTGTAGCTACGAGTCGCCATACACGCGTACACTGGCATACGCACCACTCTCCTGCCGTCTTTTTCTAGGTGGGAGCGGAGTGGTCCTTTGTAATTAGCTGCTCCTTTCTGTACCCCAGCCCCTTTCCCTGGGGGTAAGAGGGTGTAAACAATACCCCAGGCCAGCCGAGCCTCGGGCTGGAGCTTTTAACCTCCTAAGGCGGGAGCGTGCACGTTGTTTTTTTGGGACCTACACCATCTGCCTTTATTTTTTTAACAACTTGTTTAATAAAACATCTATTTTTCATTTGTTTTTAAAAGTTGCTGATCAGGAAACAATGCACACGTGAATAAATTATGCATGGGCTAAATTAGAACAAAGCGCAGAGGCCCGTCAAGCCAAAAGGCTGCCTGGATGGTGGTGCTGAGGGGGGAGGAGGGGGCACGGGGGAGGGGGGCGGGTGCGGGGGGAGGAGAATGGTTTGGAGACCTGTGTTTTCATCCTCATAGGTCCCTCCTGACAATGAAAGGTAGCTGAATGACATTAGCATTTTCTCTGTGTGCTTTTGAGTCTCTCTTCCCTAAGAAAAAAAAAAAAGAAAAAAGAAAAAAAAAAGAGAAAGAAAGGAGGAAAAAAAAAAAAAAATGCCAGACACCACCGCCACCCCCTACAGCAACTGGTCGGTCACTCACAGGTTTCTTCTAGGATTGGGGGATAAAGTGGTGGTAGATAAAGTTCTGGGAACAAAGGAGACCAGGTTTCATGCAGCACCGCTGCCTATCTACCCTGAGTATTGGACATTTTTCATGTATACTTGCCTTCTCCACGGGGGACATGCAGTCACTCAATAGCCCAGGTACCTGGATGGCACAGTTTGAACCTCACGGCTTGAGGTCTTCCTTAAGGACCCCAAGCCCCTGCAGCCACTTCTCTCTGCAGTTTGGCTTTCTTCCCGCCTGTCTTTGATCACCCCTCAACTCTCCTCCTTATCCCTCCTCCTCGTCCTCTTCACCCCCCTTCTCTCCGAAGCTGACAGCCGGGCTTCTCTTTCTGTTGTTGCCTTTAACATCTTATTACTGCCCAACAGGGTGTGAGAGGCAGAAACAGGAGCTGCCTGGACTGATCAGATCACAAAGGGGGACTCGGCAGGTGGCCGCACCGCCGACCAGTCACATCTGGACACACAGAGTTTAAAAGCAGAGATGGGCATGTATGAAGTGTAAATGGGTATTACACAGGACTTAATTTAGCAGCTACACTGTCTGAGCCTCGAAGCGTGAGTCACCCCCATTTATTACACCTACAGGCAAGATAAGGACCATGCAGTGAAGTAATTACACATGTGGGTAACATAAATATGAATTTGATAAAAGGTCTCTGTGTAAAACAGTGACATTACATATTGAGTTCTGGTTGATATCTGCATTCCTAGGAAACATAATGTTTTTAATATACATTCTAATCTTACTAGTTGTTCTAATTCAGGTAAATCACCCTTCCCAAACCTGCTATCAACACTGTACAACTTACTTTTATTAAGTTATCAAGACTCTGGATTGTATGCACTTAAACTGGGAATGTCTGCCACCTTCTGCCAGACTTGATTATGCACATACGAGTCTATTATTATAACTGCCTGCTTAGAAAAGAATAACTGTTATTATTATTTAATTATTCCTTATGAACCAGCAGGGCTTTACCTCAAGTAACTATTTGTTTGTAGAGAAGGAGACCAGTAAACTAATTTCTCATGCTGATAATTGTGATCACAAAAAATGGTACTAAAACGTTTTTTTTGCTAGAATTTTCACTTGTTTAGAGGTATATATATATATATAAAATCTCTGTTTGGTTATTAAGGACACAGCTCTGGGAGAATTAGACATACTCACATAGCTAAGGTCAGACAGCGGTTCATGTGCACAGATCTCAAATCTTCATCTCTATACATTCTGTGATCCGGATACAATGCATTCTAATCTTAAGTGGTTCTGTGCCTGGGAAAGTTGTGTGGTTGTCAGCCACTTAGAAGCCAGACTTTGCTCTTGCTGTGGCAGGTTAGATACCAGAGACAGGGGTGAGGGGGCACACATTCCTGGTTCTAATCTCCTCTTAGCTCTTTCCGAACTAGAGGAAGAGGGGACTTGGAGGTTGGGACTTGGTGCGTTTGCAGCCTTTTATGGACATTTTAGCCCCTTATGAGAAAAGGACCCTCAGACATTTTAAACCAACAGATGCCTACGAACCACCTTCTGCATCTGCTTCTGGTCGCCACTGGAAGCAGGGGTGGGGGGTGGGGGGAGAGAAGCGCTCTGAATTCTCCAAACTTCATTAGCGCGCATTATTTTTCAGTGGGAAGAATGTCTGGTTTGGATGGGATACCCATAAAGGAGACTAATTTCTGCCAGAACCCGAGTGGAGGCATTATCTGGGGGTAAACCTCTGAAAGTAGCCCAGTCTGCAGACCACCTGGGAGACACGCAGAGGTCACAGTGGAAGGCAGCTGCTCAGATCCGTAAGGTGGGCTGAAATGCAGGGGCAACTTAATTGGAGACTTACCTTTCTGTCTTTTTTTATTTTAAAAAAATATATTTTATTGATTTTTTACAGAGAGGGATAGAGAGCTAGAAACATCAATGAGAGAGAAACATTGACCAGCTGCCTCCTGCACACCCCCTACTGGGGATGTGCCCGCAACCAATGTACATGCCCTTGACGGGAA